TCAGGTTATCAGAAAACCCGAAAGGAACTTTCTGAAAATATGCAGAGAACAATTAAGCATGAGCGACAAATAAAATCACTGTCGTGCTGCAAGTAGGCAGTTTTGCAATATGGGATTCTAAACTAAGCAAAATAATATTTGACTAAATCCATTCTTGTTTTTCTCTAATTTCTTTTTTTTTTATTTGTTTCACACTTAGAGTTTAGCAAAATACTCAGGGAAGAATGCTATATTTAACAAATACTTTCAGACAATATACCTCAGTAAACAAATATACAAACAAGCGGTAGCAGCTACTCGTAGGTACTTATTGTATTCAATACGATTGGTCGTATACCTAATAGCCTACACTTCATATCTTAATAGTTTTCCAAGTGATAAATAAACATTAATGCAACAAACAATGGATATTAACATACAATCTTATAGAAAGAATATTTTGAAAACAAATAACTGGTTGCTAAAGATGTTCAAATATAATTGAAAATATCACACCATACGTTCTTCAAATGGAGTAAAGTTCTTCTCCATACTCTATTTTAAATCTAATACTATTAATTTCTAATACTATTTCAATTTTCTGCTTCTGCTTCATTTCAATTAATTAATAATACAAACTGTCAAGCAATAACAATGCTGTTATGATATTACTACCTGTCACTGTCACGGCCTACCATATAACATTATCTATGAATAATAAGGCCTCTCACGGCCTAATTAGTGAGATTAGAGTGAAAATACCTATACGCATTTTGAACCGTATCAATGTGCGATATATCAAAATATATTACAACTATATCTGTAAATCCTTACATAATTGAAAAAAGGCAGAAGTGTCTGAAAAAGGTCTAACAATTGCAAAATGTCTTATTTTCTTAATAAAAAACCTTCTTTTCGTTTTTTACTAGTATCTCTCTTATCGTTAGAGATGAACACAACAAACCCTATATGACCATGCTCGATAGGGAACGTTTTATCCAAATATGTAAAATATACAGGGTGTTCCATTTAAATTAACATTTTATTTGGACTTTTGTTTTTCTACTATCATTATCGAAAACTTTATAAAAAATCGTGCAACTTTTGTATTCCACATTTTATTATAATTCTAAAAACAAAAAAGTTAATGGGGGCGTCAAAATATAGTGAATCACATATTGACAAAAATTAGAATATTAGAAAAACATTGTTATTATTATGGGTGACTGTGTGAAGCAAGCAAGCACCCAAGTAGCTCGCGTTGAAATAAAAATGTTAGTTTCATAAAAATAAACAAAGATAAGACTTCCCCGTTGCAACATTAGTGTCAAGTTTACATTTAAAAACTGCAGTTAATTTGAAAATATTCACAATAGATAAATATTGTATCTAAGGTCACTATTTATGATTTTTTTTTGCTTGATGGAAACTTTAGGTAGGGCCTTAAGTTTTTGAGGCAGGATGAACGATTTTTATAGTCTTCATAAAGTAACACCAAGTATTAGATTTCGAAATAAATAAATAAATGTGTCCTTCTGAAATCAAATCTTATGAAAATTATACTTTCTCTGTCTACATACAATATGTACTTTGAATTAATTATTAGAAATTTCAAATTATAAGCAGGTACTAAAGTTTCAACAAATGAGTTGGTTAGATTTGACTTTATAATTCGTTTTACAAGTTGATTACAATGCAACATTATAAGGTGATAAAACAAAATGAATTTCAATTTATTATTAATTCATATTTACTACAGTGAGTGACACTCAGCTTGCAACACACTTACTTCTAAGAAATAAATGTGTAATTTCCTTAAAATTAAATATTACTACCGCAAAGAGGCAACGGAGCATGTAGAGCAGAACAGTATCAGCCATTATTGTACTGTATGGGATAGTGTGAGGTGTAAATGTGCATTATTATGATGGAAATGAGTAATTTAATATCTGAATGAGGTTTGAAAATCCTCTCTGAAATTATACTTACAATTTAATTTGCCCAATACTTATAATTTTAATCAGAACTGGAAGTATTGGAAGTATTGGCACAAGGTAACAACACATCATAAAATACAATAAAAACAACAGAACTAACATAAAACAATATACAGTACATACTTAATTAACACCCTGTATAAATTTAGTATTAATATGTCATATGCACCTAATACTGACAGATTTGGGAATTCCCAACATAACGAGTAAAACATTGTATTTTTCTGTTATCACTAAAACCTTGATTAAAAGTACTGTCTAATTAGAATGGATATTACAATTCCTTCATTTCTTTTATTAGCTTTTTCCTTGTTTGGGAAACTCATTAAAAGTTATATGGATCTGCATGTCTAATGTATTTTTTTTATTATTAAAATAAATGTTTGTTGTGAATGTTTGTTGTGAATGAATATTTTCGGCCATTACGTGAGAGCGATAAAGTAAGTCATAGAAATCCGTGCGATAGACAAGGATGGTTACATTGAAGAGTCACTCCCACTTCTAACCCGAAACGGGCCATGAGTATTCAGATTATGAAACGTCTTCACTATAGCCATCCTTGTCTATCGCACGTATTTCTTTAATTTACTTTGTCGCTCTCATGTAAAGGCAGATGGACCATGTGGATTTTCCAGCCCTGTATACGTACCTATACATATTTTTCACCACAGGATTTTTTTACAGTAAATATAATATAAAATGAATTTAATAGTGATAATTAAGACAGCTTTCTAATAATAAATAGAATAGAGATTAGAGAACAGCCAATAGTTTACTTAATTTTAGCTTTTTAAATTAATTTTTAACTAAAAATTTAATATTTTCATCCAAATAAATTTCTTATTAACTCTAATCTAATTAATTAATAAATCTTTAATTGATCAGATACGGAAATGAATGATTTGATTGGCTTTAATAAATTTTATTTCTCCCAATCAAATCCTTATCTCACTGTAGGTTAGGTAGTACATTACTTGCAAAACAAGAGAACTATATTAAACATTGTAGTGTGTTCACAATTTTACATATGTCCATATTTCTATTTTTTATAATTAAACGTTTATTATTTTCATTCAAATAAACGCCTTATTAACTCCAAATAAATCTATAATTCACCAAATACAAATAAATGATCTGATTGGTTCTAATAAATTTTATTTGTCCCAATTAAATGCTTTCCTCACTATATATTTCATTCTAAAAATTTCCAGATGTTTATACATATTTCTGGATATTTTTGTTGAATATTTCGCACAGGTAAAAAGCATATTTTAATATGATTTCAGTTACGGCCTTATTGAAATAGAAAATACTGATACGCTCAATAATAATAGCTTCTAGTAGGTACCTACACTATACAGGGTGAGTCAGTTTTTTGTGGTAGGATTTTAACAGTTGAAAGAGTTTCATTTTTTAATAAGAAAAGTTCCTATAAACGTAGGTCTTAGAACGCTTCGTTTGTGAGATATAGGGTGTTGAAAACAAAACTTTTTTTAAGAATTTTTCTTAATATCTCTAAAAGACCAACATATATTGAACTGAAATTTGGTATTAATAACACATTAGTTATGGTGAATAAAACAAAGATATCTGTTATCCATTTCACACACCAGTGACGTGCCTGAGGTGAGTTACTGCCCCCTTTAAAAAAACAATTTGTACGCCCGTGGATTTTTCTGGAAAATAACATCATTTCTAAATTTTTTAATCAATTCTGAACAAAACAGCTCTCTTTCAATTTTTTATAAAATCAACGGTTCTTGGTTAAATTCATTAGGCATGAAACTGTTCCAACGATATTGGTAATTAATACATTATTGTAATAAGAGAAATATGATGGACCCTGAAAATCAACAAAAACGATTAAATGTGATAACGTTGACATAAGAACGCAAACATTGTGTAACGTGTGTGTCAATTAGTTCTTTTTTAAAGTTCTGTGTTTGTTTTTTCATGCCAAATTTCAGTTTAATATCTGTAGGTCTTTTAGAGATATTAAGAAAAATTCTTAAAAATGTTTGTTTTCTACAACACCCTATATCTCACAAACGAAGCGTTTTAAGACCTACGTTTATAGGAACCTTTCTTAGTAAAAAATGATTCTCTATCAACTGTTATTATTTATTCAATCGTTTTTGTTGATTTTCAGTGCACATCATATTTTCCTTATTAATTCACAAATGTATTAGGTACCAATATCGTTGGAACAGTTTCATGCCAAATGAATTTAACCAAAAACCGTCAATTTTATAAAAAATTGAAAGAGATCTGTTTTGTTCAGAATTGATTAAAAAATTTAGAAATTATGTTATTTTCTAGAAAAATTCACGGGCGTACGAATTATTTTTTTAAAAGGGGCAGTTACCCACCGCAGGCACGTCACTGGTGGGTGAAATGGATAACAGATATCTTTATTTTATTCACCGTAACTAATGTGTTATTAATACCAAATTTCAGTTCAATATATGTTCGTCTTTTAGAGATATTAAGAAAAATTATTAAAAAAATTGTTTTCAACACCCTAATCTCACAAACGAAGCGTTCTAAAACCTACGTTTATAGGAACTTTTCTTATTAAAAAATGAATCTCTATCAACTGTTAAAATCCTACTACAAAAAACTGACTCACCCTGTATATGTATAATATTTTGATATTTTCGACATAATTTTTATGCTTAAACCATAAGTTATACCTACTTAATTCTTGTGTAAAATATGTTGTTTTGTTTACAACTGATTTATAACATTTAATTTAATTTTAATTTAATAATTTTTATAATTTTTGGAAGAAATCATTCCGGTATTGAGTAAATTTAATGTGAGTATTATATGTATACGTGCACAAAATATATCTATTGCATTTTTGTATACAAGGTAGATAGTTGTTTAACTTCGACTTGTTAGGTATTCAATTTCATACAAAATGATGTAATCCAAAGTTCAATTAAACACAAAAGCACAAATTTTTATTCTCAAATTACACAATCTCACACAAAATTGAAATTAGTTGTGTACAGTACTTACTGCATGCGGCAAATAAATACACAATAAATAAATAAACTGCAGTTACTTCAGGCCCTTGCCCCGATTGTAAAACAAATCACAGACGAGGTTAAAGTCAACTCAACTGCCAAAAATCCACATGTTGCATGGGAACCGAACCTTACCGGTGTACCAATTACTAATACTATCACGCGACTGAATCGAGAATGGGCGAGGGAAGAGAAAAACCCGTCCAAAACCTGCGGTGCGCCTTGAATGACTGATTCGTTCTGTTCTATCCAGTTGTTCTTTGGCCGGAGTGTAGGAAGCGAACCTGAAATTCGCGACCGCTACGTTGATAGCCTGATAAAAAAATTCGCGGTATTGTGTGCTTCATCGCGGCAGGAACAGCATTTTGTTGTTTTATTTGTGCGGAGGAAATCGAAACTAAACATTTAGAGTTTAGACAATGGGAGATGCAATGATGCCTGTTTTAAGCTAGAATGGGTTTAAGGACATACTATGGACGCAGTGGCGACGCTAGGGGTGGGTCAGGGGTGGCCCAGGCCACCCCTAAAAATTTATCTGCCACCCCTAAATTACAAAAGATGCATTTGCTCAAAATCATAATAACAGACGAATTTTGCTGATATGATAAAAATGTGTTATTTTTTTTAAATACGTTAAGTTTATTTAAGTTTAAAATTGTTTTATACTAAAGATAACTTATTGTTAAATCAGAATAATTAAACTTTTTTTATTATTAGATTAAGCAGTAATAAAAATAAATATTTATCACAGTTAAATATATTGTATTCTTGTTCTTGACCACCTCTTTAAAATCATTGGCCACCCTCTGGCCACCCCTCTTATGATAAGCTGGCGTCGCCACTGTATGGACGTGTTAGGGGCATCCGTTTGCCGCATCCGAGGTCCTGGGATATCCATAAATTGTTTCGGACTATGTACACTCGACGCATGATAAAGGTTTCCAACCGAAAAGGCATACTACTTTTATAGGGGCGAGCCGGTGGACTATTAATAGGAATTTTGGGAGGCATCAATAATTAGGGGTCATATTTTTTTTGTGTAGGCATAACAAAAAATTGCAGGCCTGAAGTATATGCATTATAAAAAGAGAAGAGTATACAGGTTTTGAAATGATTTTGTCTTGCCACGTTATTTTTCTTGTCCCTGGTCCCTGAGAAAATTAATATTTTGAAATAAGAATTTGTGTCCTATTCTGCAGAAAATAGGTAGGTAGGTCATTAAGGCAACAAAATAAAAAATATTGTAAACTACAGTTTTATTATAACATACAGTTTCGGGAGGAAAGGGAAATATTTTAAGGACGTGTTCTGGAAGTGAAAATAAGTAAATAAGTTCATGACATTATGGGTCCGGAAATGTTTCCTTTCTGAGATAGATGTCGAAAGAAATTTAAAATCCTGTTTATTCTAAATATCTCGAAAACGATTAAAGATATTACACTGCCACTGTACTGTACACCAAAGCTCAGTGCAATATTTTAAATCGTTTTCGAATTATTTAGAAAAACAGGATTTTTTTAAATTTTACATCTATCAGAAAGGAAGCATTTCCGGGCCCATAATGTTATGAACTTATTTACTTATTTTGACATCATTTTATAAACAATGAAAAAACAAAACGAGTTATCACGGAAATATTATTTTTGGGGGTGAACATGAGGGTTAGTTTGCATCCGTTTCAGGCTAAAAGAAAAAATATTAGTCGTTATTAATATGTATTTACCTTTTTGAGATTAACAATGGATATTGAACATACAATAATTTAAAGAAACACACGTTTACTGACGCACGCGCATTGACAATAGCGAACGAAATAATCTATCTTTGTCATAAGCATACGAGTTGTCCACAACTTCGGTACCATGAGTGCGACAAAGCGAACGTGATTTTTTATCTTTGTCCTGGCAGTGTCGTAGGAGCTAAATAAAATTCAAAATATAAAAAGGTAATTAAATTTGTATATGTCTAAAAAACAAAAGTAAAAAAAAATTTGAAGGCAACTTTTCATTATTTTAAATAATCTATCGAATAGTATTGAAAAAAAATTGTTTTAGTTTTGTTACATTATTAAAATTAACGATTAAAGATTTGAAATTGTTATAACTTTCGTATTAAAAATTAAAAATTATATCTATTTCTTCGAAAAGAAAAGTTACATTTTTTAGAGTAGATTGAAAAAAAATTACAAAATTAATTCATTTTTCTGCTTGTTATGATTTTTTAAATTTCTGAAATTTTCTCTTAACTTCCAGCCTCCCCAACTCTGTTAATTTTAATAGTACAAGAAAAAGTCAAGAGACCATTTTTATGTAAAATTGTATGCTTTACAACTTTTATAAGAAATTCAACCGATTTCATTACGGGCACCTATGCAGTGTTCATTAATGGCGTACAGAAAAACCAGAGGCCCATTCTGTGGCAAAAATTAAGTAAATGCTGCAGGGTTTTCAAAATTAAAAAAAAAATAATTTTCTTAAATCCATTCAATCTAACTATTCTAAGTAGGTAGTAGACGTTTCGTAAGATTTATTAACTAGGATGAATCGATTTTTCTATTGTAATATAAATGCAACTCTTTTAATAGAAACAAGATAATAAAAAATGCATACGGGGTCTGCTATAAGAGTTTGCCGATTAGTCCCATTTTAAAAATGCCAATCTAAAAGGAAAGCATTTTTGTACAAACCTCGTAAAATGGCAGATGTGACGGTAAAATATTGTCACACGAGTTTAATGGGAACGCCGTTGCATATATTAAGGAGCGTAGCTCGCGTCGTAATAAATAATAATATAAGCTCCTAGATTTATTTTAGCGCGAGTACATTTTGATTCTTTAAATATTTTCTTGACATTTAATATGATTAAATACTTAAATTTTATGTAGATTGGAAATCTTTATCTTGCGTCGAGTGTACATACCCAAATAGCACAAACCTGCCGTAGATTTCCTTAGGATATCCTGTGGGTGTGGGATATACTCGTATTCCAGGGATGTAATGTACGGTTGTGGCTATGTCTATCTAGTAGCTATAAGACTTTCGAGAAATATTTTATGCTACAAATCAGGGTATGCTCTAGTCCAGGGGCATATTGTTTGTACTGTATCATGTCATCAGGTCATCAGGACAATTTGAAGATACCTGAATATTATAGCAGGCGTTAAATTTTAATCATACAAGGGATATCTTATGTTATATATCAGAAAATCCTCAGGACAGTCTGAGGATGTCTGAATAGGGACGGTTCTTAACTCCATACCAGGGAAAGGGGAAAAATTTAGGTACAAAATATTGAAAAAAAAAATCAAATAGTAGTTTCATTTTAAGTACTATTGGAATATAGGGAAAATGTGCTCAACATTATTTTTTATAATATAGTGAAAATCCATTCTTCTGCTTTTTCCGAAACAAACTTTTAAACTCTTTTAGTATGACCTCATGTATTTCGGCAACCCGCGACAAATTGTGATAATTGAAATTGTACAGATCGAATCTGACATATGACCCTTGTTTATTATTTCCATAGATACTATAGAAATGAACAACTTCAAATAAATTTTTACAAGAATTTAGAAGTATTTAAAAACAGCCAACACGTGTTTCGTAAAATAGACACACTAATGTTCTTAAATCTTACAAAAAACGATATAAAAGAATATTCTTAAATTTAAATAAAGTAAAAATTTAAAATTAGCCGTGTTATGCCTAATGAGCATGCTCGGGAAGACTAACCTCATGCACAGGTGAAATCTTGCTGATATGTCATCGCTGTCATCATTAGCGTAATTTCTCTTTTGTTTAATCTTGGCATTTTCTAGTTCTACCAAGGTTTTTTATTGTTTTTCTTGGTGCTGTACTGTGTCTGTTTATCGAGTGTTTTTTTCTTCAAGTGGTTTATTATAGACGTACTGTTAACAAGAACCAAACTTTCCTTGAATGATATCTTGTTGCGAGGCAACCTCGCTTACATGAAATTATCTTTAATGCACAAAACTGGACAAGACGACGACTAAGAAATCAGCTGTTTCGTTTTCTTTTTTTATTAGACCTTCCGAATACATGGTTAAAATTAATGGCGTTATGACTGAAACACCCTGTGTCACCCAATCTAACTTAATGCGAAAAATTTATATCAGGAAAAAGCTGCACTCAACAAAAAATAATTTAACCTGACAAAATCGTCCAATCTATTATTGTAAAAAAATCATTTAGCTTGGGGCTTTTGTTAAGTTAAATGATTTTACAATAGGTTAAATGACTTTTCGTTGGTTACAAATTTTTACGTTGGATTAGATAATACTTTGGGTAATTTTGCTTTGAGTATACGTTGAGCTAGACACTTTCCCGATGACAGAGGGGGGCAGAGGCAAACTCATAATTCAGTTTGGGACATGAAGATTTTCCGTGGACTACTCCTATATATACGGCTGTTATGAAACTTGTAGTAATGCCCCGTCCGGCACCAACATACATTTAGTGAAATTTTCATTCTAATTATTTTGTTCTAATAGCCACTCCCAAAAATGAACCTCAGCAAGATCTAATAACATTGCTATTCGTAAATTTTTTCAAACTTCATTGTGAGTTACTTTAACCTCATGTCCTCACGAAAAATTTGTCTGGTGCTAGTCGTTGTTTGTTCTTGGACAATATTAAGAATTTCTGCCTCAATTTGCCACACCTGATTTGGCGGAGCTGGTAAACCAAAATCTTCAGTTTTCCATTATCACGAGTTCGGTGAACGAAGTAAACAAATTCTGGATGTACTGGGATTTATCATATTACTATAGCATCCCGTATAAAGGCGAGAATGGCCAGGCGGAGCCGGAAAATATGTTAATCCCTGACAAGGTCAATCAATTAAAAATAAAATGTGAAATTTATAATCTACAAGTATTAACGATAAGGTGATGGCAGATTAAAAATCAGCATAGTACAAATTACTATCACCCAGTGTAATAGATATTTATTGCAAAAATAAGCACTGCCACCTGCAAGTACTTCTATATAAGTGATTACATAACTTCATGTGATACAGTGACTATACAGGGTGTTTCCGTTTTAATGAACAGGACTTCATTAGCGTATAGAGGTCATTTTAAGCAAAAGATTCTTTTGATTTACGCTGAGCTCATTCTGGAAATTTCTTGGCGTGATTCTATGCTGATTTTCGTGGTCCCAAGCATGCAGATTGTGAACATTAACTACTCCTCTTCTGGTGAAAGAGGCTTCATCAGTCCACAATAATATCT